TGGAAAAACAACTTGATAAAAAAAAGAACTAAACCGTTCGAACTATTAGTTTTAATGATAAATTGGTTCTTCTACAGAATATACATAATCTATTCACTAATTACTTTGATCATACATTAACTTGCTTGATCTTATAATGGAAAAAATTTGTTTGTGGATGACGTTGTGTGCGTATGCTGCAGAAACACCGAAAAATTGATAACATGGATAATGAAAATAATAAGTCAACTTTGATGATATCGGAACAAACGTTATTTTGATCTGCTTTATTGTTGAGAAAAATATTACACGATGCATTTTAAAATTTGTACTTATTTATTTATTTTGTAACATCTGAATAATGCCTAATTTTTGAAGAACACAAAAGCAAAAGAGTCACAATTTGATTGAGAAGATAATAAAGTATTAAACCAAGTAGTGTGATATTAGCCAAAATTTTATATGTGAAATACTTACTAGTGAATAGTACTTTTATCTTTTGCATATACTAGGAATAAAGGAATATACTGCAGATATACTTTTTAATTTAAGCTATAGATGTATTTTTCTTTACTGCATATTTACTTTCTGATCATGTCTTATAACATGAAATGAGAGTATGAGAAGAAATCGAATATTTTCAGATTCATATTGCATTCAATTTTCTTAATATAAATATACAAATGTTTCAATTTTGATGTCTCATTTATATAATGTTGGTAACTTTAGTAATTTATCTTTGTCAAAAAATAGGTCCTCGTCTTACTTCGTATATGGTGTCTGGAAGAAAAAGCCAAATATTTTCATTCGAGTTCAAATATACATTTAAGTTTAAACTCCATAAAAAAAAAATAATCCTTTTAGGTAGGTTTCTGTAAGGATATAGAACGTCATACTAGATATCAGAAAATGAATGGTATCAGTTCGCTCATGAAGTTTTCTTCTTCAGTTTGAATGAGTATTTTCTAATTTTCCGCTCGAAATCATAGCGATAGAAAATGACAACTTATAATGTGTACATCGCTTGAAGTAGAGAAATAGAAAATCAACTCGCGAAGCTCTGGATTAAAAAGTTGATTTTAATAAGCCTTAGTGAATTATGTCAGCAGATGGCATTACACTTCATCCTATTGATTGAGTCTTTAAAGTAATGATTATTTTTGAGACATCAGCTTCAATCAGCAATCAAAGTTGAAAAATAAGTTAAAAAGACTAATGCAGCTGATACAAACAGTTTCAGTGCGCTCGTAATTATGAGCAGGTATGGTTTGGATAGCGATTCGACAATTCTCATGGAGTGAGATATTAAAAGAAATCAAGCAGAAGAACCGCGTTTAACTACCGATTTTCGACTGTTCATTGCAGCATGGGTAGTTGATGACTAAACAAATAATGGACTTGTTTAAAAATTGAAAGAATTCAAGTAGGAAATGTTATGTTCCATACGATGATTGTTGGAAATTTTTTATTTAAACGTTCAGTTAAAAACAGTTTCAAGATTTGCTTCAGTAAGTATAGAAAAAGATCTATTTTGATCAAGTCACACACATACATTCACACTCAAGCCCCCACTGATTTTCAAAAAAAGAGTCAGTAACGAAATCAACATGGCCTCGAAGAGAATTCAAAATAGTGTTTTTTTCAAATTTTTTGAAAACAATGGATTTATTATTCCAGTTGATGGAGATCATTTGGAATTACGTTTTCTGATGAAATTACACGGAATAAAATATTAGAAAAGCCTCTGGTAATATGATAAAAAGATAGTGAAGACCACTTGAAGTACTGTAGAATGACTGAGATTTTTTTTTTTGTTAAGCTTTTTAGAATATCCTATCGAATGAGATCCTTATGCAATATCCTACTTAGAAAACTATTATCCTATAATTAGTTTTGATTCTATTGTCACAAAAATAATATTTACAGTGTAGATGCCTGCATGAGTTCCTTTGAGCTTGAATCATATAAAAATTGGGAGAGAATGCAGTTATGTTAAAGTTATAGTTGTATCTTAAGATTGTATTAAGCGCTAGTAATTCGGTATTAAAAAATCGTTGGTGTCAGATTGTTTTTTGTCACCCAAGTCCGGCTTCATCCTTTTGCTGCTATCTTAGTGAACTCAGATAGTGATAGCAATTTAAACTGTATTTCATTGAGTTCTACACTATGTTTGACATCAGTCTTTTCAACTTCATCGACATTTCTATTTTCAGGTTCTAGTAAAATAATGATGAAAAAGTATTCGCAAGTAAAAGCCAAGAAAATAGCGATAATTTTTCCATAATCAAATTGATGTTCATCACTCGATTGAACAACTGTATGCAAAGGAAACGCACCGTCCATCAAGAACTTTCATACTTACTGTTCTTTTCTTTAATAACGAAGCACTAGTGTCTGCATGTATTGGTTCTCTTTTAAGCCTTCGCTGACCTTTGTGGACGGCCGTTCTTCATTTAAAACCTTTCATTTAGTGAGAGATCGTACATGAGGATTGGGATGGTACTAGTTCATAGCCCTAAAATTAAGAATATATTGTAGTTCTAATGAAGAACCAGGAAAATTTTCATAAAGATCTCGATGTTTCATAAAGTCTTCAAACATCACATCAGGGTTTTAAGCACTTTTCCAAATCAAATCTCTCGAATGTCATTTACGTTGCTGAAGTTTTGACAAACCCTATAGTCCTAACAAATTTTGTCTCGTTTTTATCCTTTGTGACTTTTCACTTCTCTTTGACTGGAAATAACCTGATAATCTTGAAAAATGTATAAGTCATCGTAATCATAAAAACTCACACATTGTTCTCTACCAATTGAAGAATGAAAACACAAATGAGAGTATCTTGCTATTGATGAACAGACACATCACGTCTCACTTGGATTCACGGAATTATCATTGATTACTAGCAAAACAGTGTCCTTATCTCTATTTGATATATATATCTTTTCGATTGGTATCTACTCGAAGAGTTCGCAAAAATTTTCAAGGTGGTATTAGACAGCTGTCTTCGATGATTTCTATTCTCTCACCTTTTCACAAGTGTCCTCTACAGATGATGTTAAAATATCGTCTAGCCGTAGCTTTGATAGCTGATGAGGCTGAAGAGACAATATTGGCTAACTGGTAGGAAATGCATGCCTCGAATGAAAGATATTGTACTAATGCAAGCTCCATGAGATATACAGGTACGATATCCTAAACACCTTGTACACACATTCGTTGAAAAAAGGCATCCATTGTTATAGTTGTATTTCACGAAAGGATGTAGGCTGGAATGGGAACAGGTTCGGTAATTAAAATGACAATCATATATAATCGTCGACTGAAAAAACTCGAAAAATAATCGATCATAATACTATCAATAAGAGCTTCGCAGCTTCCAACTATTATGGTGGCAGTGGTAAAGCCTGGCGAGAACTTCAACTGAGAAGCAAGACATGTTGGATATAGATCTTGAGACTCATGTATTAGAAAATTGAACCCAGCCATCATTAAGACGAAATATGTGAACATTACTCAATAATTAACATGTGTTGAATGAATCGAAGCCACGAATGCGTGCACAGTCGAAACTTCATGGCCACCCTCACCTCAAAATTCAAAACTCATCATGGAAGTCGGTTACAATAAGATTTAAGTTAGGGTCCGTGAGATTAACTCATTTCAAACTCAGACCATGTCTTTAGCTTAGATTAAATTTCGGAATAGTTATAACTCGACCGATGACACTATCTTCGAAAACTATTTTTTTTTTGACTGAAAGTCGACGGTCTCCGTATACTGTGTTTTCTCGAAACAAGCTTAACTTCTCGAGATGTGATGTCTATAAAACTATAGAAGAACAAGTTCTTAACAAAACTGCTTAGAATACCTTTTATATTCGCTTCATTCTGAGAGTGCTGAAACATACCTACGAAATACTCAACGCATTCTAAAGCTGTATCGATCTATGTCAAAGACATGTGATGTGTGAATCTGTATTTTTATGATTACGTGACATTCATCCACATTTAAGTGACAGCCATACCCACCTTTACATGCTCTTACATGCATGACAGAACATCAGATAAATCACTGCAGAACGCTGGTGAAGGTGAATTTCTATGTCTAGAGAATATTAAGTGCGTTCACAACCATTACGTCTATTACACATGTGTATTTCATGAGAGCACGTGTGAACGAGTGTGATGCCGATTGACAAACTATAGGAATACGGATGATCACTGTCCATGAGTTGTCTGGAATTAAAATTTTCCGAGTTTCTCATTTTGTTTTAGAAATGAGATCAGAAATAAGCATAATATGTGTCACAGTTCTGAAAAGCCCATTGAGCACTACATATTCATTTTGTAAAATCTATCCATTATTTTAACATTGATTACAGTTTGGGCTCCATCATATCTCCAAATTTCTATTTTACTATGTACACCTAAAACTAGATACGCAATTTTGCTGCATTGATTATGAAAATTTATCACTCAGTCTACGTGTATGGGTATAAGTATGGAAGTTGGTCTACGCAAAATCCTTATTAATCTTTTCTTTCCAACACTCACACTCATTAAAAGGAAAAAGAGTTAATCTTCGTTTTTATCAACACCACGATATATTGTATCAAATATTGGATAAACGTGATACAATTATTGAAAAAAAACATGGTACTTAGCAAATTTACCAAAACGATCCTATTTATACGAGATACATCCAAGAGTGTGAATGTCACTGCGACTGTTGATGATTGCATGGTATTGACCCACACCCCACACCCACTTGAAAGCAAACCCTGTTGTTATGTAGATAAAAAGATTGAGCCCTGAGCAGGTTTCAGAAGTGAGCATTTACGAGAAACAAACTATTCTCTTACAAATCCCCCTTGCACGAATGCCGAGGGATTCAAAAGTCGTTAGCAGCATTAGATAACATTTACACTTCTGAAAATACATATTTTGCTTTTCGGTTGAGTCAATATCGACTTCTTACGTATGACAGTTCAAAATTGACAGAATTTATTTCAAAAATGATTATTGTGGAGGTGGAACGTTTTCCGGGAACTGTCCCATGACATTACCGGCTGGACCATATTGAGCAACAACAACTACTCGTCTACCATTATCGCTAAAAGCCACTCCTACACCCAAACTGCTCGTATTCTTCCAGATGACCTGAGTGAAATGACCAGTTTCCATCGAAAAGCCTGGATTATTGAAATCATAACTTTTGATTTCATCATACCAAGATTGAGTAGCATCCATACCTATGATAGTAAAAGTTGTTTTTTTCAAACAAGGCTATGTTTCAACTGACCAAGAGATTTATTTGTCAACGGCTCCGAACTACTCATTGTATATAAGTTTTCACCAAGATTATCACGATTTGTACTGTGTTCGAATAGATTATTTTCTGTCAAATATTGTGCGTAAGCCTGAGCTTTGCGCGTGATTTCATCTTTGAGTACCAGCGGAGGTACACCGTGACGAGCTCGAAATTCATTGTGACTATTTAAAGCTTGTATTTCCCATGCATTTGATGTAACATCAGCACTTTTTTGAGTTTTTGATAATGATGTCGAAGTTTCCTCTAATATGAACATAGATAAATGGATAAATGGTAATGTTTTTTGTGAAGTAATAGCACTTACGATCAGTATCGATAGGTTCCATTTGACAGTTTTCAACGGTTGCAGTCGAACTGTTGCAGCCCATTATTTAATCAGTTCTATATCGATACTTAATCTTGAGAAATATCAAGTTTACGCGCGTTGATCTAGAACTAGGATCACGAGTTTTTGTTAACGAATGCAAAATAAGATGTTTATAGACTAATTGGAATGAGCATCGTGATTAGACTGAACATGATTATTATCTTAGTATTTCTGTATGTTCGTGCTCAGAGATAAAGTTTGTTGAAAAATTTCACTTTGTTGAAGAACGATCTAATCAGCTTTGATTTCATAGATCATAATCACTCACAGATTTTTTTCTGTTTTAACTAGCTACTGTTTCGTTTTTATACTAAATATTTTCTCTAAGTACTTGTCTTAGTAGAATATAGAATGTAATCTGTCAATACATTGATTAATTTCTCGCTACGATGGAAGAATTTCCTCTCGTTTGATGGTTTTTTGTTGAACAGAAAATTTCAAACAAAGTCTTGACTGTTGCTATGTAACTAATGAAAAATGGAGTGAATTGTTGCGCCTTTCCACTCGGCAGTTACTTGAAAAATAAGTATCTTTTTTCTATTTTTCCTTCTCTGGTGTTATCATAAAAAGAAACAAAGCCTAAATATTTATATATACTTCTTTAGGATTGATATTCCTCTTATGTTCACTACTTCATTTATAAATATAATATTTGTATCCTACCAGATAATTTTCTCCTCGTATAACCTTGTTATATTAGTAGCAGAACAAAAAGCATGATGTAATTTTGTTTTGTCGAAACTAAAATTAGGAACATATCAGTGATGATACATGTTGATTTGTAGTATTTCATTAGCTACGTTTTTCTTCGCCAATATTTAATTTTAATGTAGACTCGTATCGGGTAAAGATTGTCATGTTTCTAAAAGAAAACTTATCAGAGACTCGATTCTCCGTCATATGTTGATTTTTGGACGAAAACCGAATGTAAAAATAATTCAAGTTATTTTTCACTGCAAAGCAATGATATAAAATGATTCGTCTATCCAAATTAGTGCATGGACAGTCTTCTTCCAATTCAATGTTAACATAGAGATCTAAATTGTACTTCGGAATCGTTTTATATATCGGTTTAGAGAATATGCTATATTTTAAAAAATGTTCAGAATATTCGTACGAAAAAATAATTAATATGTATATGGGATTGTCTATACTTGCTTTATTATATACAAGATCCAAAGTAGGAGCAAGTTAGAAACAGAGTACGACCAGGTATAATAAATGATATATGAATGAAAACCATCAAAAATTATCGATGTTCGAGAAATTCAATTCATCGTGTAATCATTTCATGTGCAACTTCAATAGTGTTTCTATGGCATACAGCCTTTCATCATTCTTGTTTCTTTTATAAACTGATGACGAATCGGTAGTTATAAACAAGTACAATGTTTTGTTTGAATTTCAAGGCAAAGCAGTGTTGACTGAGCATGAATCTATGTAATCATAACACAGCTGTTTGTCTCTTATTGATTTAGCCAGTTGGTTGGTTGTGCTTTGTGCTCATGGAAACGCATAATAAAAGTAAGTTTTAAAGAACGATTGCAATGCTCTTAATGCTCATGACGTATGTGCTTCTAACAACATGATGTTGAGAGAAATTCAAGAAAGTGAGTAAGCAAAAAAAGGAGCAACCGTTGGTTGAATTACGTAAAAGAAGATCCACACAAATGGATGGAAGTGACGAATAGAATCAGCTAGTTGAAACAAATTACAAAATGGTCTTTAGTCATATAACAAATCTAACAATGTGCAGATATATGTGTTCACTTTCTAAAATGTAAACTAGTTGTGTTAGTTCGAAAATCTTACTTTTCTTAGGCGTTGAGCGAAAGACTTGAAGAACACAACAATTCTGACCTTCTGATTGATTGAAAGACTTGCTGATTTGCAATATATTGTTCATAATAAAATGATTTAGTTATTGCTGAAAATTATGAAAAAAAAATGATCACCAATTGCCATTTTCAGCTCTTCGTTCGAACAACAACTTTATGTTTTCTAAAGGGTAGTCCATAAGTTTCGACCCCTCTCTGTAAATTGACGTTATCTATATTCATACATATATAGATAGTTGATTGAAATGTACAGTTTTGTAGAGAATGAGAAGAGCTATCATCTGAAAAAAAAAATGGTTGAAATTGTGTCGTAGTTATGAAAAGTTATGACCATTTTCTTCACGATGACTAAGCATTTAACACGTTGCGTTTTTGCAAAAACAAAAAAAAATTCTTTAATGTTTAAGACATTTAAGTCGAGTGAAACATTGTTTTCTACATGTTTTTACTAGATATTTTCATATGATTCGATAGAGTTCGACAAGCTCTACAAGAATATGAATATCAAAACTAATTCTGATGCTGTTTTCAATACAAAATTTGGAGGAAACCAGAAAGACTAATAAAAATTTCACATATCTTGGATTAAAGAGTATGCTTGTCTTTCGATAACTCTAGCTGACCGACTGCTAATTTATGTTTCGAGATGCAGCGTCACATACTGAAGCTGAAAATAACCTTTCCGAGCTTCATGAGCAGACGAAACAGTCGATCAGCCGACGTTATTGAAAGTTCAGCATACTCTCTCTAATGCAAGATATATGAAATTTTTATTACCCTTTCTGATTTCCTTCAAGTTTTGTATTGGAAGCAGCATTAGAATTTTTTTTGATATTCATATTCTTGTAGAGCTCGTCGAGCTCTATCGAACCATATAAAAATATCTAGAAAACGATATTTTCCTTCAGACATTAGAAGCATATTTTATTTTTGCAAAAACGCAACATGTTAAATGCTTAGTCATCATGAATAAAATGATCATAACTTTTCATAACTACGACACAATTTCAACCATTTTTTTCAGATGATAGTTCTTCTCATTTTCTACAAAACTGTATATTTCAATCAACTATCTATATGTGTATTAATATAGATAACGTCAATTTACAGAGAGGGGTCGAAACTTATGGACCCCGCACCCTTTACTATGAATCAATATAAAAAACTGAACATTTTTATAAAGAATCTAATGAGATCTTCCAGAAATTACCATATAAAACACGATTGAATTGTTTTTCTTCTCAAGACGACCAGGTTTCTCAAAATATTCTATATTTTTCAAGAAGTTATGTTATTGGAAGTATTTAAAAAAAACGATGTTAAATTGAAACAATGAACATGTTGATACACTGTCATAGAAAGAAATTGCATAATGATGAACGTGCTTTATATTTGAAGTCGATGGCACTATCACATGATCAGTGAACATGCTTTTATCGAAGAGTAAAATTGTCTTGCAACTGATTATACTAAGAACGTTCCGTATTATTCTTGAATTTTAAAAGTAACCTAACACCTTTCACAATATCGATCTGCCACTACTTGTATTTGAACGAAGAAAAGCAATTCACATCGCTGAACTACGCTGACTATTTCCTGTCTTGTTATGTTCACAGTCGATAGTAATAGAACACTTCATAATGACTTAATTTGCTTGCTTACGAGGAAAGTTCCCAAATGATCAATTGCTCTTTATAGAAACATACATGACTGTATGCAATTCACTGTGCTGATTCCGAATATCAAGATCTTAGCGGTCCTTATGCCTTTTAAGTTTTGTATCATGACACTAAATTTCCTCCTAATAAGGGTATTCTTCATCACAGTCAATCTTTTTTATCAGTCTACCATGTGTTACTAGACAGCATATCCCCAGAAATACAATTTTATAGACAGTTCAACGTTAAGTTTCAAATACTGAAATGGATGGTATGACATAAAAGACTAGATATGCAAAAGAGCCCTCTTGTGGTTAATTTTTTTTTCACATAATGACAGGATACAGAAATAATATTATCTGATATATTCCATTACATAATCTCACTCAATTTATCGCTTGTTTTGGAAATATGTCCTTACAATGACGATGTTTTATATTTTGAGAAGTTAACGTACATAATTTCTATTTCTTCTATAGTTATATCCTTTGCCATATCTAGCATAGTTATGATTAATTTGTGAATATATAGTTATAAAACGACAATCACTGTCAGATGGCTGTTTGTAGTCAGTATATAGATTACTTTGTTACTCGATAGCTTCGTAGTTAAAACTTAAGATTGAAGTGTCTATAAAAAGGTAGTCCTGTGAATATGTTGTCTATTGGTACATGATAGATTGATTAAAAGATTGATTTAATGAGAAACACCCTCATCAGAAGGGAATTTAGAGTAATGATACAGAATCTAGCAAGGCCTAAGGGTCGCTTAGATCTTGATATTCAAATCCGTGCAATGAACTGCATACAGTCATGTATGTTTCTACAAAAAAAAGCAATTGATCACTTGGAAAACTTTCCTCGTTAGTGACTAAACCCGAAATTCTTATTCTTTCAACCACGATTGAGCACATGCTTTCATATGCATCGTAATTTCTTGCGCTTTTCACAGTTTAACCCAACTTTTATTTAGGCATACATATTTATTTCTCTTGTTTTTTTATCAGTAATTCTTCTATTTTCACTTGTCGTGATATACTGATTTATTATGTTGGTATTAATGTAGCGCAACGAAGATTGACTTCCATTACAGAACCATCTTAAGAATCTGCAAAGCGTTTGGTAGTGCAAATCCATTGGTGTATATTTTCAAGTTTCGTTTATTTCTGTTCAATCCATCCACTTTGTGAGCAGTTGACAACATCATTTGTATCTGAGCGATAAGAGATATTCCTGTCTTTCTTAAGATAAAAAATTCTCTCATACATTCGACGTTTTATTGCTTTGTTTAATACTTTGTACGATATGGATCGCTTTAGATGGGACCAAAGCAGACGTAAGGTCTCAATAAATTGTTTTATGCTACTTGTTCTTATTTTGAACCTCAAGTCTCGAACTTTTTGTATCAGGTGTTTTGAGATGCTTAGAGACCTTGTCTCGCCATCTTAACGTGAGAGCATGTGGAACTCTTTTATCACGCAAAATGAAGAAAAGAAGGGTTTTTTTTAGCAATACTGAATAATCTTATTTTTTATTCAATGTATTAACATGACTAAATCATCTTTACCTGTTTCTTCTCAAGATGCTTTCTACAGATGGCTAACAAATCAACTGAAGAACCGAATTATTTCACATCCAATATCAAGTGACACACTTGAAAATGTTCTTAAACATTTCATATAAGATGTATTCAAACATTGTTCTTCAACAGCTCTTACAAACAATAATTAACTACCATACAACATATAGAGGAAGATCGCATGCTTTCAACATTTTCACTTTCACCTGATTTGACATGTATCTGCAATACTATATAATACGCCGAACTGCATTTAAAATGTTAGATACCTTGCCTCGAGGTGTTTTTATCTCCTGAGAGTGTATTTGTTCACTTGCTATTCAGCATCAAAGGTCGTTAAAATTATTTGTTTTTTTCTTGAAGACTTTTCAAAATTTTCTCAATTTTATTAGCTTTCACATATGATAATAATATTTTCTGTTTACATGAAGCCAACAGATGAACATAGTTGCTGCTGTTTCTACTACTAGAAAGCAAAAAATCAACGAGACGATATAGAGTAAAAAACACCCACAGAGTATTCAATCGTTCCAATTTAAAAAATTTTCCATAACCTCTTGAAGAGTCTATGCTGATGTCACATATCCTTCAAGAGTTCATGAGCAGAAGGTTTCGTGAAAGTAAGGGTATATGACTCAAATTAAAGAGTCTATAATTCAACATTTCCATCAGAACGGATTATTATTCTACGCATATGGGTAAATTATTTCATGATTTCAGCAATAAGGTAGATTACTCTACAAACAAAGAGTTCGGTATTCTAGGAAAAGAAAAAAATATTCTACGATTTAAAAAAAAAAGGGTTTATGATTCTACTTACAGGAGTTTATCGTGCTAAGTTTTCATCAACAGCCTTAATTATTATACGAATCAGAAATGGGCAAATCAAGTCGTTTTGTGACTTGAAGATTTTTTTGCATGAAATATGGCTTGACTAAGTTCGTTATCAAAAAACCTCTGACTCGCCCATCTCTAGTACATATAGAGGTACATTGTTCTGGATTTTTCTTAGAAGGATTTACTGTTCTGAACAAATTAATAAATTATTTTGTAGGTTTTCTTGGATATGATCATCCTGATAGAAATCGAGTATCTTACAGGAGCAATAGAATACGCTAATTCAGTTTGTTTTTTTTTCTTGATTCGGTTATCGTGAACAGCGCTTTTCGAATATCATGTGGGTATTCCTCAGGGGATATTGAATTCCCCTTTCCTAGTGATTAAACACATTATGTTAAGAATCCCTTCCATAATCGCGCGATTTTGAAGATACTGACTTTCGAGTTTTTCTTGCAAAAAATAATCATATTTAGCGGATATTGTCGAAGTAGTAGAGATTTTGTGATTTGCTTTGACACACTAGGTTAATGTATAACATCCTTACAATGCATGGTAGTCATTGTTGACCGATCTTACTTCTCTTTTTAAGAACTTCGTCCACATATACGATAAAAATATGAATTTTAGAATTGCATGTTTTTTCGTTCCATATACGTCTATCTCTCTGCAATGACATTATATAAAATAGATAATCAATGACTCGTCCCCTGCGGATAATTTCGCATTCTGTCTTTGATGAGTTTTTGAAAACTGATTCATGAATTATCGATTACCTCAAGAAATAGTCTAAAAATTATGAAGGAACAGAAGCGTCAATGTCTTTTATTTAATATCTCAGACAATAAAGTCGCATCAGCTCAGGTTTTTCAGAAAAACTGCATATATCCGAATCGCATGTAGCCTCATCGATCAGTTAAATATGGCTCATTTTCCAACTTAATCAATAAGATTTCCAAACTGGTTATGGAGTAGCATTAATTTTTCCATCGACCATTTTGCCGATTCTCTTACAGCTGTGATTGAATGTGATAATTCATAGATAGTTCGACTCTCTTCTCCATTATCTAATTCGAGAACAGCCTCATATTTTTATAGCACTTCAAAAACAGAAAGTGCCTAAAATCAGACAGCTTGATTTTCTTCTTCTTTGTCTAAGCATCTTGATTGCTAAATTGCTTTTCTTCAAGAGAATTGAATAACTTACATTAGTTCACTTTTCTTTTTTTCCTTTACTTATCCTCATAAATGCTGAGAGTTTTATAGAAGCGATAGAATGAGAAAACACGATGTCCTTTTTTCATCTTTATTTTGTTATTTGGATAATCATCCGTGACGTAAAGAAAACAGTCTAATAAATCACCATTGTTGTCTCCCATTTTTCTTTTTCTTCATTTACTTATTCTGATTTGTCTTGTGCATTTTATAATAGAAATGTAATTAGAAAATAAACTTTCCGTTTTTTTTTCGCTATCCATCATGTTGGTTCTGACGTGCCCCTTATGAAAGATTTAACATCAGAAAAGTGGCTTTAGTTTTCTTTTCCTCACTTAGTGATCCCAATATTTGTCGAAAATCGTATTGCAAAAAACCGAATATGTTGGTTTTCTTTTGCTCTATTAGTTTCGGCGATAATTTCCGTGTGTCTTATGAGAGAAATTGAATAAATCAGTCAACTCAATATTTTTTTGTAGTTTTAATTCTGGTAATATTCGTCGAGCATTCCAGGAGAAGAATGGAATCAGTTAGTTTACGTATGTTTTCTTTCGGTGATTTGCTTTTCTGATAGTTATTGACATTTGTATGGAGGAAAACGGATTAAGAGAATTCATTTCACCTTTTTTGCCGTCGTTTAGTTACCATCATATTTTTTGATTGTTTTTAACGAGAACTCGAAAAAATCATTTTACTTGAACTATCTTTATCTCGATACTATGCTGCCGATAGTTGTAGAATATTTTACGAAGGAAGCAAAAAGAAGTGATTTTCTTTTCGTTACTTAGCTCGTATGATTTTAAACTATCTTTGCAAGCGAGTATGACTGCAGCAGTGGGCTGTGACGGTGAATGTAGGTCTACTTGTATGTTCAGCAGGCAGATGGAGTAGAGAGTGTCTTATTCTCATTAACATTCACACACACTCAAGGTAATACTAAAACGCACACCCTTTTCATATATTTTATGGGTTTAACGTATACCTTGGATCCCATGCTAAAATTCGAGAAATTTGAGTCTGAAAAATGTGTCTTATTGTTTCATGGCATAATTCGAAACTCAAGGTGACAAAAGGTAATACGTGTTTAGAAAAAAAACCCTGACGACAGACTTTCAACCGGTAACTTGTGATGGAATCTTTGTAAGCTGATCGCAACTGCATATTAATCATCGAATAATAAAATATAATTCTCTATTCAAGTAGCTTGTTTTCATTACTGGTGAATAACCTCCAGCTATTACGCTCTGATTTTGAAAGTAAGAAAGATAGCTCTTGAAGTTACTCAATAACACGAATGCTAAAAGGTCTACTCCAAGCAATTTTCTTTAAAAATAACAAACAATATTTTATTACTGTCGATAATTGTTTCTGCTTCTATGCATTAAGCGCCCTCTTGAAAGCATTTCGAAATATTATGCTAATCTACTGCTTTCATTTATATCTTTCAATCTTTTACGTCGTTCAAAAGAAAGTAAGAAGCATTGGTGCAGAAGATAAATGTCATGTTTCGCAAACACTCAATTATTCGTACCGCAACCTACGAATGCGTGAAAAACAAATTCGAGAGATTCTTGGCTTATATAGCCTCCGGCACATATCAATAATTAAACTATGCAGCAACTGCGTCGTCTATATAATAAAGCGTTGCTTCCCCAATCTAACAAATCTCAATTCAACATCCCTCAATTCAACACAATGCAACGGTTCCCAATTACTCTAACGATCATGACGTATGTAGCTTTGCTATAATAATCTAATGATAAAATATCATTGCCTTTCTAGATATCTTCTCTGCTGTGTTACAGGTAACAGAAACCATCCTTAGTCATTCATCTTGATGAAACTTCGAAAGGAGCAGTAGATTTGCCTAGCTAAATTCTGCTACTACCTTTATAACAAGTTAAATAGCTTAGAGGGTATGATAAGTTGCAATTACAAGGAAATCCATATTTTTGCACGTCATTATCCCATAAATGATAAAACCTGAACAACACTAGTGTGAAAATCTAGATGAAAAGTCAAGGTTGTATAGCTGACATTCAGTTTTACACATTTAATTGAGTGAATACAACTCGTAGTTTGACAATGTGCACCGCCAGAAAATATAACTTTTTTTATAAAAAGTATACAGATATGAAGTGTATATTTGTGGTGTTAGGTTGAATCAGGACATCAATTTTATAGTGAAACGTATAGAGACTGTAGATGTAAATGTTCTATTATGGTTGTAGTTGACAGTGTCGACGTGGGATAGGTGTTGGTAACAACAAGAGCTTGTCATACGCCAATATCTTCACCCAGATCCAAATAAATATTCACTGACAACCATGCATGAGCCTATACTTACATCTCTCTATTATATTTATCCTCTGTTTTCACTTCCACATCTGTCAGCTATGTAACGTTTCATTTCAACATACTTTGGTGGCCATAAGATACATTAAAACAGTTACTTCATTGCGCATATCATCAATCCTACATTTGAGATATCCAATGAAACATTTTTCCATAGTTATTAGCAGTCACCTGAATTCCTTTCTCCACTACAACCGAAACTGACCAACCACACTTCATTCCTATGACTTTTTAATCGACATCAACCTGACGACACCCCGTTGACGCCGATGCAAGACGCGATCACTATCATTTGATAAGTACTCTGCATCTCATTCAATATCCTCGAACAATATCGTACTCAATTATAAATTGAGAGGAGATTCGGGGACAAGAATCCCTAGTTTCTACCATACTTCAGAGCTGCTGCCTACACTAAGCAGAACCCCACCTAAGAATACTTGCTTTTAGCCGAAGACACCATGCCTCCCGACATAACCTCACAGTCACCAGGAACTGACTCGTTTACTTCAATGCCGGCTAATCAGACGACACCAGGACCAGCAACAATTGGACCCCAAACGTCAATGCGTTTAAATGTAACAACTGCTCGACCACCTGGAAACGGCTCGTTTACTTCAATCCCGGCTGATCAGACGACTCCAAGACCAGCAACAATCGGTCCGCAGACCTCAATGCGTTTAAATGTAACAACTGCTCGACCACCTGGAAACGGCTCGTTTACTTCAATCCCGGCTAATCAGACGACTTCAAGGCCAGCAACAATCGGTCCTCAGACCTCAATGCGTTTAAATGTAACAACTGCTCGACCACCTGCAAACGGCTCGTTGACTTCGATGCGGGCAAATCAGACGACACCAAGACCAGCAACAATTGGACCCCAAACGTCAATGCGTTTAAATGTAACAACTGCTCGACTACCTGTAAACGGCTCGTTGACTTCAATGCCGGTCAATCAGACAACACCGAGACCACCGACAGCCAGTACTCAAGCATCTACGATGAGAACTGGCAACACAACACGACCAACTGGCACCAGTCCTTTTACGCCGTCGACGACGACATAATCTGCCACGGGTTGAAGACTTGGCGTTGAGAATTCTATCCATGGTGATGACATTTGCTTTTGCTTTATGTTTGCTGTAGCTAGGAAAATACTGAATGCTTAATTGTGGCTAGGTTTCGAAGAGATCGGAACTTACCAGGTTTCTTTGGAATAAACGATTCACGAGGAAATCCATTGTATTGTGTCATAGAGATTCGTATGAGCATGAATAGTTTTTCTTATTAGTCACTTCATAAAGGGTTCGGCTTCAAGAAGTCTTTGTTCAATTGCAGTTAGCAGTATCATGTTTCATAATGTGCTTCGCGAGGCGTGCGATATCTAGTGTTAGTATTTCATCTTTTGAAAGAGCGGTTGCTGAATTTTCTGGTGATTGCTCCACATTCTGCTTCAGTGAAACGCGATATTTATTGAGTATTAAGGTGTATTGGAAGAAACACAGATCAGCCTTATCTTCGCACACACACTGTGACAAGCATGTTGCGCTTTACTAGAGCCTTTATCTATCTAGAGAAGATGTAAACTGGTTTGTATTACAGCCAAAAACCTCTTAACAACGCACTATGGCTAGTACTACCGACCCTGACTATAGTTGGTGCTGTATGGTGCAAATGTTAATACTTTATGAATTATCCTGAAAGCTTTCCTCGATATTGATTGGTTTGACTATGTCTTTGAATCGTAGAATGAGTAGGGCATGCATATCAACTTTGGGAAATGTTGGTGAGACGAAAGCTAAGGAGGCTTGAAAGATAATATCGATGACATTGATTGTGTCGTGTTGATAAAACTAGAGTCTAGCAAGATACTATTCATGATAACGTGCTTACGAGTCGTATAATTTCAAGTTCAATTGACCTTTGCCTCTAGAGGGTTCTGAGTGAATGAATGGAAAGAAAACGAGTTAGGTTTCATTTGGAAGATACTGGCTCTGAAGCTGAAGCCGTATCACAATGTCTTTGACATTGACTCCTAAAATAAATAAGGCTTTGGATCATTTCTAAAATCTTCTCCGTCACAAATGAACAAGTTTAGTTATAATCAAGTTTTTCCTGTCACCGTCCTCACTCTCTTGTTTATTATCCAATTTTTTTTCGTATAGAGCCCGGATTGATCGAACGTTAAGTTAACGATTAGTTTTAGTCGTTGATACCGTCGATAAACAATATTCATTTATTCTTTTAAATCCAGCATTGATTTCAGGTTCCATTAACTTTAACTAATCTTACAGTGTAACGGTGATTTCTAAATATCATATTATGGTATGTATATATTGGATATTCTTGTGACACTTCATTATTCAGGACAATACCTGTGCGAAATTTCAGAAAATATTATGTTGATTACATTGATACAGGAGACATTGAGTGAGAGAAAATCGATGTTTGAAATTTCGTATCAGATTCGCAATGATCAAGAAAATGAGATCGGTGCGTTGGCAACATCACAAGCTTAGTATCGATTGGGTTTCCATGAATCAATTGTCGCAAAACTAGAATATTCGGTCATCTCTTATTTGGTGTTGCATGGTTAGCAAAACGAATGTTTGAATGTCACATCGAAGTTTTTAAGTGTTGTTCACACATCTGAATTTCGAAAAATCAATCGAAAGTGTCCATGACAGAAGTCTTCTTTAAGGGTTTCAAAACTCTTTAGATAATCATCAAAATGAGGAACGAGGATGAATGAAAAGCTGATGATAATTATCGAGATGATTCATTTCAATGTTTTTTTTTCTTGTTTTTCTTTTTGTTTTCTTTGAATGAGCCTCGCACGATTTCTTCACCTAGCTAGCGTATGTCTTCTTATTTAGATTACTTGCAGAAACACATGAGATCTATGCACAACCCTCATTTCTTATCTGATGCGCTAAACATTTTAGATTAACGATGTACGAATATACTCATACAAAAAGAGAACAAGTCAATGTTTTTTAGTATTGATGACTCTGGAAAGGATCTTAGAAATACCTACAAAACTAAAAAGCAATTCGTTTATTATTTCAGAATGAAAAAGAGGTTAATAGGATATAAAATCAACTGGCCATCACAGAGGGTATGCGATGAAGATATAAAATATTGTCCTAATTGCATAAGTGTACTTTGTCGTCAAACTCTTCCAACAAGTTTCTCCTCGTTTCACTTGGAAATTATTTTGTGACATAAAACATAACACCTGGTCCCATTCTTGTTCATTTCGTTCATCACTATTTTTCCTTCATTTTCAGTGTCATCATACGGCCATTTCTTTGATTAACCTAGATTGAAAGAAGAACCTAACTGCTCATTGATAAAAAATCGTCCTTCTCACAATCGACCTCACTCAAGGCTCTTATTCGAGCATGTCACCCCACCATTCGATCACATGGATCTGCTAAATTCACTTAAAATCGACGATACGAAATTTTTCTCATTAGTCTTAATGGCTTTCTAGCTGTGTTTTTGAATGAAAGGGGTATATTGAAGAGTCTTTTCTTCTCATCAACATTTACAACTATACACAAGCTAATACTTACACACACATCTTTTTCATATATTTTATGAGTTCAACCTATACCATGAATTCGATGCTAAAATCCAAGAAACTTGAATTTGTAAAATGTGTCCTATAATTCGATGCCACAACTTGAAACTCAAGATGGAAAAACGTAGCTCGTATGTACACAAAAATTCTGATAGTAGACTTTCGACCCATGAGATCTAATCAAACATTTGCAAGCTGATCGTAACAGTATATTAATCATCGAATAATAAGACTTCATTTTGTATCCAAGTAGCTTGCTTTTATTACTGTTAAATCACCTCCAGCTATTACTCTCTGATTTTGAAAACAAAAACAAGGGCTCTTGAAAATACTCCGTCATATAAATGCTAAACAGTCCACTCGAAGTATTTCTACTATGAAAATAATACAGTTATTCTATTACTGCCAATATCCTTTTGCTTCTATGCATTAAGCGACCTCTTGAAAGCATTTCGAAATATTATGCTAATATACTGCTTTCATTTACATTTTTCAATCCTTTACGTCTTTGGGAAGAACACAATAAGCATCGATGCAGAAAATAAACATCATATGCCACCAACACTCGAATATTCGTATTGAAATCCATAGATGCTTGAAAAAATAATTCGATGGGTTCTTGGCCTACACAGCTACCGTCTTACATAAATTACGCAAATATGCTGCACTCTCATCGTCTATATAATAAAGCTTTGCTCCACCAACCTGACACTTCTCCCTTCAAGACTCCTCAATCTGATACGATGCAACGGCTTCCAATTACGATAACGATCATGATGTAAGTAGCGCTGCTATAATAATCTAATGATACAATACCATTGCTGTTTTAGATG